CGCGAACAACGTGTGAGTAAACAGTCGAGAGTCATGGCCCTCGAACGACCGTAGCTAATGGATGGCGATTCGCGGCTTTTCCGAGATCTACAGGGCCTGGTTCCCTCTAAAGCAATCGATCATGCCTGGAAAGAGACCTGCCGGTATGGATGCAGGAAATAGAGTTCCTGTCTGGAGCTTGATGTGGGAAGTGGAAGGATATATGGTGCCATAAATCAATGCTACATCAAGAGATTTCGGTACACTATTTCCTGGGTGATATCTCTAGATTAATGAACTACCCAGGTACGGAGTAAGCTATCTACCTAGAACTTCCATCGAAACAGCTAAATCCTCGGCACGCATCTCAGAGATTATACAGTGCGGAGTGGTTTCGGGTACTAATACGGTGACAGGCCGGTGGGGACTTGGGACTTATCAACTACTCCATGCGTCGTAAAATCGTGGTCCCATGTTAGCGTCATCATCATCCCTCAACACCAGATGGCCCTGCAAATCTGCCCAAGCTACCGGAGCTGGAGCTCAACCCCTCCAACCCAAGCCCCGACTGACGATGTAAGTGTCTCAATCTAACCAATGTGCACACGCTATGCTGCTGGGCGGTAAAGCGACTGTCCTCCTCTTTTGGACAAGGGAAGGGGGACAGTTGATGACGGAATCTCTCCAACGTAGCAGTCGGCAACCTCGCATCGCATGCCTATGGGGATCCATCCATCTCCATCTCCGAATGAACTGCTGTTTGTACTGAACAGGTAAGGCAAGTAACTCAGCGAACCACGGAACGAAGTCCGAAAACCAGCCTTGTTTGTCACAACAGGACAGCACCACTTCCGGTTTAAGCAATCATATCAGATGGGGTCTATGAAGTATGGCATGGGGTTGAGCAGAAAAGAAACGACGAGAGATGAAAACAACACCATCGCTGCGAGAGACATCACAGCATACCTCTGAACAGCACATAGTAACAACATGCTATATCTCCAAGACAACACATGAGAGGCCCAGAGTCAGCATCAGATTGAGCGGCCGTCTCCATGAGAGCCAGGGAACCCCCTTGATGGCCTCCAAGCGGTCATCTGGGTCATGGCATTGAACTGTGCCGTACCAGGCTCAACCGTGAGCCATGCAGAAGAAACAGACACTGGAATTCAGACACAGCTTGCTGAATGGCTGCACTGTATTTCTCATTCCATCCATCCATAGAAAGACAGTTCCAGGTCTGATATGACCAGAATCATCACAGACAGAGCTGCCACCCAACCATTCACAGCGCCAGTATCGACTTTTGGGCGATAGATGTGCTGCTGGAAATTCAATGGCATAAGCATATCTTCCCGCGGGGTCGGCGTGGGCCGATTCTCGAGAGAGCCTCAGCCCATTTTGGGTCCGCTGCCACACGACGTCGCCGCACCCCCTGCCCGAAAGCGCCAAACCCTCGACCACATCTGTCGATTGTGACCTAGCTATATATCCCCTTTGCGCGCGTTCGCTGGCCAAACACAATGCCCTATGCTTACGCATCGTTATTGTGCTCATTCACTTATATACAGAGATAGAACTCAGCTATCGACCCTGTGTCTTGCTCAACTGATCTGATACAATTCTCCACATTACCACTTACACGCCCTTGATCCCCAACACCAACGGCTACCCTGACAGCAACCGCACGATAAAACTCTTCAAATAACACGATATAAACATTCAAATCAGCTCGAAAGATACAAGAGGAACACAACCCCTGTATAGTCGAATATCCCGCTCCGCAGCGCCATTTAATCCCAGCACACAGTCCCTTACCTGGAACAGTGCGCCTGGACAACCTGGATCACCACTCAGCATACATATATATATATTCTCTCCAAACCTCACTCTGCGAAGAACGCCTTATGGCGGCTATGATGTCGTCTGTCAACCCCTTTACACCGGTGACCCCCCCACCGGAGAGCCACTCCTTTCCTAAACTTCCTGCCCAAAGGCCTTTACAGAACAACCTGAAACGAAAGTCCTCGATGCAAGAACCCTTCAGTGGCCTGGCAGGCCTCAACACCCCCACGATGATGGCTCCTCCTCCCCCTCCGACTTCACAACCTAGAATGTCCTCGTCGCCAAACCGCAGTTCTGGGCCTAGCTCCAGCAGCACTCCTCAGTCCAGCGAGTCAACAACCCCCGAACTTCCCAGCGTCGCCGGTGCCAATCTGGATCCAAAGTACCTCGCCATGGTTTCTCGTATTGCTGCTTATTATCAGCAGAGGTGTCAGGCTGTTGCCAACTACCAACAGCAACGATGCCAGGCTTGGGCCAACATGCACAGACAAAAGTGTCAAGATATGATGCAGGCGTCTATGTTGGTAGTCGCTTGGTATGTGAGAGATCGCATCCAGCGCAGGCGAAGAAGGGAGAAGCGCCATTTCAGATCCGGCTTGAGACGCAGGACAGACCAGAATAAAATCGCACGGACTGAGGTCGTTCGTCGCTGGGTTAAGCAGATCCCCGAAGGACCTGAGTCACCCAACGAGCCCCTCAACGTTCAGCTTGCCGACCGCGAAGAGGCCGAGTTCTCCATGGATCGTGAGACACAGCCGGACAAGGACACCAAGCTCTTCGAGATGGCCGACAACCTTATAAAGAGCCAGTACAAGAAGATTGAAGTTCCTATAATGGGTGTACTCAACTTTGACGAAAGCGACAATGACAGCGAGAGTGACCTGGATGAGCCAGAGCCAGAGCAGTACGACGAGATGGATGAAGCCGAGGACTTGGCTGAAGACGACGAATACTACGAAGTGGAAGATGATGAGCTGTACGACGATGAGGACGAAATCGAATACACAGGGGATGGTGCTTCAGAGGTTGTTCACCATGGCACAGGGACTGGCTCAGGCAGCAGAATCAATAACTTGAGCGAAACCTCATAAGAATTATGCCCCTACTCAACATCCATCTCAACAATCAGCCCTCTTTCGAGGGGCGGGGCGAGGAACCTCACTAATGACGACAAGGAAGCATCTACATCCCGGCGACATAACACAACTCCAACGATGGGCACATTTGTACATTGGTTTCTTTTTCAGGGAAAGGCGCAATAACACGGCGGGTGATGGTCCACAACGAACTTATATACACACTGGAGTCGAGAGCATCTCCATTTTTATCTGTTTCTCATGGCATACATACATCGATGATACCTTTTTCTAGCATGGCATATTTGGGTTCATTGTTGGTTTTTACTAGGACATCAATGTAGGTCTACCTGGTAGTGGACCCGGTAGGCAGTTGTACACGAGCTGAGCGTATACTATATAAAATCGACATAAATGAAGATATTTCCATCTGGACATCCATTTTTTAATTCTGTGGCTGCGGAGAAATACATAGTTCGGAAGTGTTACTCATTTGGAAAGCAATTGAGCACTGACACCGCGTGAAACTGTGAGAGTGGTCGAACTGCCGCATTCCAAACTCAGCACTGCATTTCATTGATCAGCGATGGGACAAGAGGGAAAATGCCAAAAAGAGCGGGAAATGGCATGGTAAAAATCGATTATCGTAGCATTGAATCGCTTGGGCTGGGCAGTGCGTACTGCACGGAGCACTCGGCAGTAAAACAGCCCATGAAGGGTGAGGAATCGTTCGATATTTCCTCGTTTTAGGGCGACATGTTCTGCAGGCTGGTCTAGGCTTCAAGGTGCTGAGTAAACCGGTGAGGGAGGAGGTGACCACAGGGAGCAAGAAAATATTATACCTTGATACAAGGTGTCAAAATAAACCTAGTAAAGAGTACTCTAAACTTAGGTCTAGATTTACCTAAATATTTTTATTACTTAGGGTCAAGCTCATGAGTTTTCTTTCCTCCCTAGGGTGATAATATCAGACAGCCAATTACAGTAAGCATCTACCAGGTAGGTACTAAGTTAGACAGCTTACCTAGACTAGTAGTACCTTGTAAATCGACGATATTGGTCTTGTTTTCTGGGATTGAGTGAATGGGAAGTGAGAGACTAGATATCAGATTCTATTCCTAGATTTCTTTATACGCAGCCTTGTAGTCTAAGGTATAAATCTCCAGCTTATTATTAGCTAGGTTAGGTAGAGTCTTCAACCCTGTTACCCCACCATAATCTCTCGCAATATTCATCACGGCCACCCAGCTTTGTTCTACTATAAGACTTGTACCATCTTATAGAAAAATTATTCTCTACCAAGCTTTGGACTTTTGTAAAGAGATAAAGGCATTGCGGATCCAGTACAGGCCATTTGTTAGATCGAATCAGTCCGCGAAGCCACTTCACCCATAATAGGTCTGTAGCCGGCTTATGCTGGTTGTGATGAATGTTGCGAGAGATTGTGGTAACTTTGTAATAAAACTTTCACAAACCACCATCTGCTGCTTGCTACCTTGTATATTCTCACTTTTTCTACATACCTATTCAACGAACTGCCTTAGCACTACCTACCTTAGTACCGAAGCCAAGCATTCCCGGCTTAATGCTCTCACTTTTTCTTATATTTGCCTTGATACGGGTGAGATCTGCTGTGGTTTGGTGACTTGATGCTTCCGCTTGTAGACACAGGCAAGGCAAGGCAAGGCAAGGTACCTACCTACCCAAGGAGGTAGGTGCTTAATACCTTATTTGGAAGATGTGACTGAAAGAGAAGGTCGCTTCGTGCTTGTGAATGTGACTTGCTGTGATACTGTCCTTCAACCTAGTAGATCGTGGCTGCCGAAGGTCAAATCACAGATGGAGTAAGGCACCTCCTAGGAAGTGCAAATAAATATTGTGTTCCGTGGCTCAAGGCTTATTGCAACTCTGATCTATCAACCCGTGACGCTTCTCGCATTCTCCCTAACTCAGTACGTATCCTCAACACTAAATCGTTATCCTATTATTACTCTTCACCAAACCACGAAAATTCCTTGGATGTACCGACTTCGATAATATTGTGACTGGTTTCTATCCGAGTATCATTCATTCATTGATCAATAATTGTATACCAACGCGATGAGGTACGTGATTTATGCTGCATCAAGTTGAAGCAACGGATCCATCTCCCCGCGCCACCAGTTCCCCAAATTCCGATCAGTGAATCACCTGGACCCATTCCCAAACTCTGCTTGGCTTAGAGTGTTGTTCGTTCCGAGTCTAGTGTGTCCTCTGCCCCGGTTACTGTGCCGCAAGCGCTTAACCCCCTGTCGAGGTACTCGTCCCCCGCTTCCATTTCGGCTTGGCGTTCGTGGATATCGAAAAAAATACATCAACATCATTTCGCCAGTACATTGGTGGCTGTATGCAGTGGCCTTTTTGTCAACACATCGCTCGGCATCTGTCTTTCGCCTCCGTGAAGCTCAATGGAGCTCACTTGACCTAACACAGAGCTTAACACATAGCTTCCCACGTTTCACTGGCATACGTACAACACTCCTCTCTGAACATACGCGAGTTAGTTATCTTACTTTATACAATACCAATTTAACTCTCCTTCTCCCTTCGTGCTGTGCCCCAACTCGAGATTCTGCTCCTCCTTTCATTCTTCATTCTTCCTTGCTTGACAATACCGCTAAAGTGTCAAGCACCCGCTCACGATTACTCTACAGTATCAACAACACATTCGACCGCCTTCTCTCGACCTCGGCAGCCTGTCGTCGTCATTCCCCTTCTCCGGAAGACCAGCCGCTGCACTCATCTTCCGGAAAGCTTCGGCGCCTTTCAAATCGATCTGCTCCTCCTGCTCCTGGGCATCCCGACATTTACACTATGGGTGGCGGCAGCGAAAACAAGGGAGATGCCTCCTCCTACCCTCTCTTCGCCGAACGGCCTGTCGGCGTTCCAAAGACAAGCATTCTGAAGGGCCGCATTGAACCGTTCTACAAGTCAGGACAGTACTATAAGGTTAACCTGCAAGCGTATGACATTATCAACTCACTCACTCGGAATTTTGAAGAACTAACATGCCTCATAGGAACATGTACAACGGCAGATATTCGGGCAAACCTCATGTTCAGTTGTCAGTGTGGGATGCACCAGACCTCTCCAGGCCAACTTTTGAAGAGGCTACAAGCCACGAGTTCAAGGAGACCCATACCGGTACCTCTTTTGGGCCCTCGTGGTCCACTCATTGGTTTAAGGTCGTCCTGCGTATACCGGATGAGACAAAGGACGAAGAGCTCATTGAGCTTCATTGGGATGCCAACAACGAGGGCACCATTTGGACCGAAGGTGGTATTCCCATCCAAGGCCTCACTGGTAGCGGAGAACGCATCGAATGGGTCATTCCCGACTCATTCCGTGACGGAGAGGAGCACACAATTTACATCGAAATGGCCTGTAATGGCATGTTTGGAAACGCACCTAACGGCACGACAACCATTGCACCGCCGGATCCCAACAGGCGTTTCAACCTCAGCAAGGCTGACATTGTCGCCATCAATGTCCCAGCTCGCAAACTCCACTTAGATATGTGGGAGATTGGCGATGCTGCTCGAGAACTACCCGAGAACTCGGCTGAACAGAACCATGCTTTATCTGTTGCCATGAAGATCATCAACACCTTTGAGGTCAACAATCAGGAATCTATCCTTAAATGCCGCGAGATTGCCCGTGAAATTCTTGGCCCTGATGTAGACTCTCATAAGGTGTACGAAGGAGGAAAGGAACCTGTTGTTTTTGGAATCGGGCATTGCCACATCGACAGCTGTTGGCTGTGGCCCTGGGCTGAAACAAAGCGCAAGGTTGTTCGATCATGGATGAACCAATGCGACCTCATGGATCGCTATCCAGAATCCAACTTTGCCTGCTCCCAAGCCCAACAATACAAGTGGCTAAAGACGTACTATCCTGCTGCATATAAACGTGTCAAGCAGAAGGTAAAGGAGGGTCAATTTCATCCTATTGGTGGCAGCTGGGTCGAGCACGACACAAATTTGCCCAGCGGTGAATCACTTGTCCGCCAGTTCTTTTATGGCCAGAGGTTCTTCGAGGCCGAGTTTGGTTCTCGATGTCGAACTTTTTGGCTGCCAGACACCTTCGGATACTCAAGCCAGCTTCCACAGCTTTGCCGATTAGCTGGTATGGACCGTTTTCTGACCCAGAAACTGAGCTGGAATAACATCAACAACTTTCCTCACACTACTTTCATGTGGGTAAGCCCTGATGGAAGTCAGGTCATCTGCCACATGCCTCCCTCCGAGACATATACAGCAAACGCTGATTTCGGTGATCTCAAGAGGAGCATTGCAAACCACAAAACAATGCGTGTTGACAGTTCGTCTCTACTTGTCTTTGGAAAGGGTGATGGCGGCGGTGGCCCAACTTGGCAACACTTCGAAAAGCTCAGACGATGTGCCGGAATCAGCAACACTATCGGCGGTATCCCAAAGATCAAGATGGGGCTGACAGTTGATGACTACTTCGACCGTCTCAACCGCAAGGCCAGCGAATTCCCTACATGGTATGGGGAGTTGTATTTTGAACTACACAGAGGAACGTATACCACACAAGCCAACAATAAGTATTACAATCGAAAAGCCGAAGTGATGCTGCGAGATATTGAACAATTGGCAACTTTCGCATCAATCAAAAACAAGTCGTACAAGTACCCGACCAAGGATTTGGACGACATGTGGGAGGCTGTTCTGCTGTGCCAGTTCCACGACTGTCTACCAGGAAGTAGCATTGAAATGTGCTACGATGACTCGGATAAGGTATTTCGTCCCATAACTGCGAGAGCTTTGCTTATATGGTATAGGTCTATGCTGAAGTCTTTGAAACTGGTAAACGCCTCCTGAAGGATTTGTATGAATCGCTCAACGTCTCTAGCGAATTCTCAACGTGCCTCAACGAGTCTGTTGCCATCAACACCCTGCCATGGCATCGTAAGGAGCTTGTTGAACTTTCTGAAACTGAAGTCGGTGTTGCTTGTGGCGACGGCCAGCTGCTCAATCTTCGCACGTTTAAAGCACAGGAAGAAAAGCCTGCGGTGACCGTCATAGAGCAGTCTACTGATGTTTATGTCCTGCAAAACGAGCAACTCCGCGTTGTCGTCGAAAGCGGTGTCATTACATCCCTTTACGATGTGGTCAACGATCGTGAGGTTATTGAAAAGGGTGGAGAGGCAAACAAATTTGTCATCTTCGATGATATTCCTCTTTACTGGCAAGCATGGGATGTAGAGGTATACCATCTCGACGCACGCCGAAAGGTCGAATATGGAAAGACAAAGATTTTTGAACAAAAGCCTCATCGAGTCACCCTGGTCACTGATGTCAAGATCAGCGAGAACAGTTATATCAAGTCATACACCACCCTCTCTGCAGCCCTCAAAGGGCAACCTTCTCGGGTTGATGTCAGAGCGGACGTCAACTGGCATGAGGACTCCAAGTTCCTCAAGGTCGAATTCCCTGTCAATGTAGTCAATACCGAGGCCTCCTACGAGACCGCTTTCAGCATCACCAAGCGGCCAACTCATTACAACACAAGCTGGGACATGGCCAAGTTTGAGGTGTGCTGCCACAAGTTTGCTGATCTCTCGGAGAACAACTATGGCGTTTCTATTCTCAATGACAGCAAGTATGGTTTTGCGACTGCAGGCAAGACGATGCGATTGTCACTCCTACGGGCACCCAAGGCGCCTGATGCCAACGCCGATATGGGACGTCATTCCATCCGATGGGCCATCCTACCTCACAAGGGCAGTCTATCGTCAACCACTGTTAAGGCTGCTTATGCTTTCAACAACCCCCTGAAGCCCGTCACTGCCTCAAAGGCGGTCTTGGAAAGTGTGTCCAGTGCGCCGATCAAGCTTGTCAATGTTGATGAGTCTGACTCTCTTGTACTGGACACGATCAAGCGAGGCCAGGATGACGAAGACGTCAGCCGAGATGATGGCCTGCGCATCAACAAGGGCCAGAGCATTATTCTTCGTGTGTATGAGTCCTTGGGAGGCCGCAGTCGTGGAGTTATTGAAACTAGTTTCGATGTCAAGCGTGTTACCAAGACGAACATCCTAGAGGATGAACTGGAAGAGATTCAGAAGGAAGACGGAAAGATCCCGATTACACTACGACCGTTTGAGGTAGCAACTTTCAAACTCGAGCTGTAGGGCGATTCGGAGTGGGAAAATTGTGTCTGCTCAGGCTCAGAGGTGCGCGTCTTTGTGATTTGACGTTAAAGTCTGATCCAACGGCTCTTCCTGCACACGTGGTTCACTACTATGGTTACTCCTAAGATTGCAACGCTTCAATTTGTGAGCAGGACATGCAGGTAAGCAGCAGCTCTCAAGACGGCACGTAAATAGGGAGTGTGGTTGGCGGGGATGACTACCAGACAATAACTTAGTTAACTACCAGCAAATGGCTCAATCATTCCAAACCCTAAACGCCGTCTCCTTCAAGTGACAAAAAAGAAATGTAACATGATCAACCGTCGGACCCGAGAGGTCACCCAACCAGCTAGATGAGAGCAACAAAGGAGGTAGGTATCTTTTATTGGTATTCGAATTCAATGCGTCGCTCTGCTGCACAGTTTAAAACATGCGTCGTGCCAGCATCTAATGGGAGTCATCAGGAAGGTCCTCGATAACTTCTTCAACCATTTCGATTAACTCGTGAATATCCGGTCGCTCAGCGGGTTCAACACGCAGACACTTCCTGACGACATCACGAATCGGCTCGCTGATTTCAACCGCTGGTGCTCGTTGTTGCTGTTGTCCTTGTTGAGGGCGCATGCTGTTAGAACGCTTCACGCCAGCAGGTCCTTCATCAGGGAAGCGCCAATCGCCACCTAGAACACACAGAGACAGAGTACCACCGGTCTCGTCGGAGCGCATCTCAAAGGGGGACTTGCCGACAAGGCAGGCGTAGAGAGTGCAGCCCATGGACCAAATATCAACCTTTGTATCAATTACCATGCTAGTCTGAACATCAAAAAGCTCAGGGGCACGGTAAGGCATGGTTGAATGTTCAGCGGCCGTGTCTTGAATCTGGAGGGCCAGAGATTGTGATGTAACAGGAATTGGCGACGGAGCGACGGATCCTAAGTCCATGAGGATCGGGGTTGAGCCGGAGTCATCGATCATTATGTTGCCTGATAATAGAGATGAGTATGGGAGGGTGAATGAGAATAATACCCCGGTGTGCAGCCTTACCTGGTTTGATATCTCTGTGGGCGTAATGTTGAATAGATCTGCCTCCACTGACTTGGTTCTCCTCCTCTAGCAGACCCCTTTCTTGCTCGCCCTCCTCTTCTTCCTCGGTTCGCTTTCCTCGCGTGTTGTTTCTCTCGCCATGGTTCAGCTCATCCTCTTCCCGCCCCATGTGCATGCGCTCCACGGCAGGCTTATAGTCATGCATGGCACGCAGAGCCTTGCACACTCCGAGGAAGAGCAACATGAGACGACGCTCAGGGAACCGATCATGGTTGACCAAGTTTGCGTTGATCATGTCCTGCAAATTACCGCGCTTGTAGTATGGCAGAAGGACGTAAACGGTTTTTGTCGCCTCGTCGGCGCCGCGCTCGGTTGCGACGGAATGGTCGACAGCGGATATGATGGTTGGAACGTGAGAGAAGAGCCGATAGGCATCAACCTCACGCATGGCCTGCTGTACCGATTCAGCGCCAAAGGGACATCGGATCTTTTTAAGTGCGAAAAGTTCGTGGCTTGAGGTATCTTCGACAAGGTATACGTAAGAGAAGCCGCCCTGGCAAGTGTCAGCAACGTGGAGTGCGAGAGAGCGGTGTTTGTTAGTCTACCTCTCCAAGTAATCTTAAGATCTTGAAGCTCCGGTTGTTGATCTTGAGGTTGGGGTTTCCGGGAAAGCAATTGAGACAATTCCCGAACGAGTAGAAGAGGTCCAGAAGTACTTGCGCCATGATATATCGTGGGTGGTGATACACTGACTTAGAACCCTCTTGGATGTGCAATAAACCGCCTCTCAGCTTCGTCACAGCAGACACCGATGGTCAGAGATTCGCTATACAGTCCGAAGGACGAGGGGAGAGCTGCGTGCTATTCAGTAAGATGCTGATCGTCAGGGACAGGTGAGGTTGTGGTTGCTGGCGATGCGTCGTAATTGAACAAAAGGAAGAATTGTTAATCACAGTTCGGTTTGACTGTCCTCTTGTTTCCATAGAATTATAGCGAGGGTTTACGTCAAGTAGAGAGAGCGACACAGTGCCGGAAAGGGGAGAGGGCAAGCTGAATGAATTACAAGATGTTGTCTTTGGCTGATGTTGGAAGCTGAGCTGAGAGGCTCTAGTTAGAGTCTGAGCCACATCAGCCATCAATCAGCCTTGAGCAGAAGGCAGGTCTCCTTAGCTGGTCCATTAAGGTACCTAGTACCTTGAACTGGAACATTGCAAAAAGATGCTAACCTAATTTAGATAAGCTCAACCTCCTCTGTGGGCTCGCTCGCTTGCGTCCCCGGATACCTTACATAAGCTGCATTGAAATTCCCTAAAAGGTGGATCTTGATAAACACAACATCCATAGTAGGCATGGTATATCCGTAAGAAGCCCATCTCCGTATTGATTTTCATTTCCCCTGGGAACTCCTTTCGCCACTCAGGCCACTCACTTACCGGCACGAGCCAGATTTGATCGATTAGATATCAATTGAATTGAATTGAATTGAATTGCTTGAACCTTTTACGGAAATGCGTCGAAGCATAATGCTCCCCATTCTGAGGCATGCAGCTACAACAAAAGTTAGGGGGTCCTTATCTGTAGGCAGTTAACTAATACCTTAAAATGATCTTTGCTAACTAAGGTCAATCTTCTCAAGATGCAGTTAAGGTATCGTCTTTCAACAATTGACATTTCCTGATTTCGTCTATAATAAACTAAACGGCGAAGTTCGCCGCATACTTCTAGTCTGATTTTGCAATAATTAAAGGCACCTAAAGTAAGGTACTCGAACAAGGCAGCTTTCGCTTTATCCCGCTTACTTCCCATCCATACATACTACATACACACGTTCACACGTACACACATACATACCCAATTGCGAATCCCGTTCCAGATGAGGGGTTGCAACAAAGCCTTTGATGAGTCAATCAGTCCTGCCCACTCAAAACCAACTCCGAAAGTTCACAATCCTCTTGGCCCGTTTGTATATATACTATATAGATGGAACGTTTTCATCCCCATCCAACTCATCTAGACGAGCAAAAACTCCGTTGCTCGCTCTCTTAGATTTTCACCAGTGTCCCCCCCTGTGCGCTCAAATGTGGTCCATTTTCAACGGGCAATTACTCTCCTGTGTTCTTCTGATCAAGAAAGGAGATTTCGTAGCGAGGGACTGGCACTTGCTCCACTCGCCGGGCGACTCGATGGAGGCTGTGGCCCATTTCGAGGGCCTGTTGGGCTTCCGTGGGGAGCAGGATAAGTCGGCCTCTGCGGGTGAAGTTCATGAGAGAAACCATCGTGTCGCGACGGAGGCGGTGGTGCCCCATTCGTCAGGGTTGGTGGTGGTAAGTGCGACGCAGGAGGAGGGGGCGGAGGAGCGTTGTGTCCGTGGGTTTGATACGGATGAGTATAACGAGGTGGTGGCGCTGGTCCATTCAATCGTCGAGGTGATGGAGGGAGTCCGTTGGTATAAGGCTGCGACGCGGGACCACTATGATGGTTTGCTGGCGGTGGTGCAGGTGGTGAAGATCCAAGCGGAGGCCCTGGTCCTACAACTGGAGGTGGTCGCAACGAAGATAGTGTGGATATCGGCGGTGCATTGTGGATTGGGGGTCCCCCATTGATGTGTCGAGGAGGCGAACCTTGCTGGCTCGCAGGTCGTCCCCAGTCGCTATATGATGGTCGTTGAGGTTGAAGGGGCGCGTATGGGGCAGGGGGGGGAGGCCGGGCGCCCAGGGCATGATCTGCGACGAGGGCAGGCGCTTGCATTGGTGGTGGAGGACCTGTCGGAGCATGAACTGGTGGAGGCCAGGCATAAGCAGTAGAAGAATTGGTCTCCCGAGGGGCAGGCACCATCTGTGGCTGACTGCGCA